CCTACCTACCCCCAGGCGCCAGGGTGAGGAGGACCAGTCCCGCTCCCCACCACATCCCATCTGTCCACCCTCAGCCCTGCACCCACCTCCCCAGGCTCACCGTCCACCCACCCTTTGGAAAGAACTCTCCTGTCCTCTCCGCCTCTGTCCCAGGCATCCCTCCGCAGCCTGCGCCCTGGCTTTTGCCCCTCTATTTCTGCCACAGCCACTGGCAACCCCCTCATTTCCAAGCCCCCAGCAGCACTGTGCACCACCAGCCACTCCCATCCTTCCCCTCCATCTTCTCCTAGCATCAAGGATGGCCCTGTGTCCTGTGACCTGGATTCTCCCCTCCCCTCCTCCTCCACTGTGTCTTCCGTTCAGGCCCCAGACCCCCAGCCCTCCTCCTGCCTCATCCCACCTCCCCCATCTCTGCTGCCCCTCCCTCTGCTTCCCAGGCTCCCATCCCTCCTTCTCCTAGACCCTTCCATGCTTCCTACCTGCTCTCTGCCCTCAGGCTCATGGTGGCCCAGCCTGACTCGCCATTTCCTCCCGGCGTCTTCTGACTCACCATCCCCTCCTCCAGGCACACCACAGCCGGTCCCCACCAAGCCTGGCCAATTCTGCCCTCACTCCACCCCCTGCCCTCCCCAGCACCACCCTCTTGGGCTGTCATGTCCCCAGCAGAAGCTTCTGACCGCCCCCCGTCCCTGCATCCCATCATCCCCAGATCATAGCAGGCTTCATATGGTCACTGGATGGGTTTTTATATCACAGAGGATCAAAATTTCTGATTGAAATCTTCCCACATTCTTCTCACCTCTGGGTTACTAAAGCATAGCCATAGCCTCTCTGGCCTTTTCTAGATGCACCCCCCGAGCCGGGGGCCCCATTCCCTGCTGTCCTCAGCATGTGGCACACCCCACCCCAGCCAGGACCTTCTGGAGACCTTGGAGGTCGGCCTGATGTAGCCTCCCATCTTAGTCACTTTTCTTGTTGCTGAGACAAAAATACCCAACACCCAAAGTTGAAGAAGGAAAGGTGCGTTATATTTTACAGTTTGCAGAGGTTTCAGTTCATAGTTGGCTCCAAGGCAAGGTGGCACGGCAGAGGAGCGAGGAAGAAGAGGAGGAGGAGGAGGAGGAGGAGGAGGAGGGGGTGGGTAAGGCAGCAAAACAGCCAGCAGTGACCCCGGCAGCCTTCTTTCTGTCCCTATGTATCTTATCCAAGCTGTACCCCCTTAGGGCTGGTAGCACCCTTAATCCTACCCAGAACTGAGCCAAACCAATCAGTGGACTGATCTAGTAATCACACTTCCTTGATGGGACATCAATGCCCTGGAGGACAAGATGATTACAACTTCTGTGACCTTCCTGTTGGGGAAAGGATGACAGGGGATGACACGGGACAAGGTCAGGATGCTTTGGAGCAGGCACGTGTGTCCCATGGCAACAACTACAGAGCCCTGCTGCGTAACAGCAGGAGGTCAGGCAGGCACTGGCGTTGCTTAGGCCCTACATCCAGCCCTCGCCCGTACAAGGGGCCTGTGTCCAGGGGGACCTGCAGTAGGTGTTGTCCTGCAAATGCAGGCACTCTCCTGTTACTGGCAAAGACCTCTCTTGGGAAGTGTTTTCTGTTTCTTTCTATAACAGTCGCACCCTTCCAAAGCCCTTCACACAGCCTGAGTGTCCCCAGCGCAGGTGACTGGCTTGGGAAAGGGAACCCTTTGCAGGTGGGTGCTAAGAAATGCAGGAAGCGTGGAATTCCCCCGCCGGCCCACAGGGGCAAGCAAGTGAAAGGAACAGAGTTAACTTCCACATCCAGTGGAATGGTTCGCCCGAGGGTCCAAACAACCACAACTCAAGCCAGCAGTGGCCCTGCCAGTCTCAGCACAATCCCAAGCTCTTGAATCCCTTGGGTCTAGAGTCCATGTGCGTTTTGTTTTTGTTTTTTGTTTTCGGTACTGGGGTTTGAACTCAGGTCCTTGCACTTACAAGGCAGGCAGCAGAACCACTGAACTACATCCCAGGCCCTCCATGTGCATTTTGCTTGGCTCACAGCAGGACGAGAAGGGCAACAGTAACACACCGGGGCTCCTGTCTGCAGTTCCCATTAGGAAAAGCCCACTGAGAGGCCAGAGGCTCAAGGATTTCCCACCAGGGAAAATCCACTCCTTGCTAACTGGATGCGGGAGAGGGGTGGCCCTGGCTTTGGCAAGGATACAACAGCCTTAAACACAGCCATTGTTGCTGCGAGAATGGCTTTTCCAGTGGTCTCAGTGTAAACTAAGATGCTTAAGAGGGACTGAAAAGAATTAAGATGTTCGTCTGTGTTATTCCAAAGTGTCTTTCTCCTAAGAAGCTTAAAACCCTTCACACATAGCACCTCATTGTCTTATTTACTTTTGGGACAAGAAGTAGAGAGGCTTTTGACTTTAAAGCCACAGTAGCTCTTAGCAAGCCCACTTTGGTGAGGTCCCTCTGCCTGCAGCGGGCACCATGTTGGAAGGAAGGTGGGGGCCTGAGAGGCAATGGAAGAGCGGAGGGGGACGAGAGGCTCCAGGAGGCACAATGATGGCCTTTGGACCGTTAGCTGGGGGGAAGCTAAGGTGGGCACCCACGTCTATGACTTGGACGGCCAGACTGTGGGGAACCAACAGGAGGCGGGACTTCGGGGTGGAGAGAGGAGAGGTCAGTTTTGGCCCGTGTTACATCCAGAAGCTTCTAGAAGGCAGGCACCACATTGGCCTGTGACACTAGGGAGGGTGGGGCCTGAGCTGCTGGCGTGGGTTTTGGCATCCTTACCGCAGGAAGCTAACGGAAGCCCCTGGAGGGCTGGAGAGTGGGACAGCTGGGCCAGGACTGAGAAAGCCAAGCCGTGTGTCCAAGCGAGCTCTGGAAGACTGAGCACTGAGGCTGTGGATTCGGGCCTCAGCCACACGACAGCACCAGCTAGGGAGCTCGACACCACTGGTGCTGGACAGCAACCCCCTCGCTCCAGGCTGGTCCCTGCCGCCTCTGACTAGGAAGGCTGGCATCGCTGCCAGGGTTCCCAGTGGCGGGCGACACTGCTGTGCTCAGGCAGGGCCACGTCCTGTGCCTCTTCCTTCCTCTTTGCACTAATGGAGAGCCCGGTGCCCGCGCACGGCGCCTGCTCAGTGGGCTGGGCGGACCCATGCTCCCTCCCATGCGCCTCTGGGCCTGTGTCGGACCCGAATTCGTGGTCTCCTGCCCAGGGGCTCCTCTCCATCTGCATTTCCCTCACAACTTTCCTAGGAGAGTCACAGCGTGTTTAAGCCAGAAATTCGCTTAACAAGTTGCTTTGACATCTCAGAGAGCTGATTTTATTAAATAAAGGCTCATAGATGAGGGAAAGAGAAGACCGGAGGAGCTCTCCATCCTGCAGCCTTTTCCATCTTATTTCATGAAAGCCCCAGCAGATGGTTAGTTCAAGATTGTGAGCTTGCTGCTAGGCAGGAGAAACCTTGCACACAGCACCCTGGGGACAGCACTGCAGTGTGCTGGTCACAGCCCTCGCCTGGAGTTAAGGAGCAGGGACACCGCACACAGGCGTGCACTAATGATTTGCTCCCTCAGCTCCACAGTGGATTTTGTGATGGTCTTTTTCTCCAGCCAGGAAAGAAGCAATAGCTATGTAGACTCTGGTGGCCACGGTGCAGGCCAACCCAAAGTCAGCAGGCAGAGGGCTGCACGTCTGGGGCTTGGTCCAAGCAGGAGAAGCAATAGCCCATGAAAAGAAGAAGCAGGGTGTGTGGGAGTAGCAGTGAGGGGCTTGGGTCTGAACCCCACTGTTTCACACCCTGAGGGTCTGGGTTCTGTGGAGCAGAGACCCTGAGGCTGCTGCTGTCTGCATTCTTGGAGAAGAGCAGAGGGGACCGTGCTGTGGCCTCTGGGTCCCTCTGCAGTGGTGCATGCTGCTTGACAAGGATCACATGCTCCCAGAGACCCACAAAGGAGGCGGCGCCAGTCCCTGGCAGCTCTAATGTGCACACCTGCTGGCGCCCAATCGTGGCCTTCCTGTAGGTACTGCTTGCCCTGTGCTGGGGACTAAAATGTAAGGTTCTGAATTCTTAGATTCTGTGACTCTGGATCTAAAACTGTCACGGCTCCCCAGTGGTGCTTGGCTGGTGCTGTCTTCTCTCTGAGGGTCCCAGCCCTCTGGGGAACCAAACTGCAATGGCCCCAGTGTTAGGCTGCCCAAGGATTGAGTTCAGGCAAGGTCCACTCTGAACTTGAGGATGCAAAGTCTGTTTTCCAGCCCCTACTTGCCACTTGGTACACAATGCTGGAGAAAATGGCACGATCCACTCATTGAGTGACTGTCTTGGTGTAAAATCATACCTGCTGCCTTAATGATGTTTTAAGAAATGTATAAATAGGAATACATAACACAGAATTCGCTGCAGCCGCAATGGCTTTTATCTGTCACAATTTTGCACAAAGCACAAATTGTTGCAAAAATACCTGAACTCTGCTGTCATGGGGGTGCTTTGAAGAGATTGTTAGGTGTGTGGCAATTATTCACGGGCCAGGCTAAGGCCCTGCCCGACTCTGTCGCAAAGCCCTGCTTGCCCTGGAGGGGCTCAGAGCTGTCTTCTCTGGGGAGCCTGGGCCACAAAAGCACAGTGGACAAATAGCGTGGCAGGGGCCGTTGTGCTGAAACTGGTTTTCTCCTGGCAGCAAACTTGAATAAACCTGGGAATGGCAAGTAGGCTGTGATTAAAACTTATGGCCCAGTTCCCATTCATTTTCAGCAGATAATGCTTGGTTTATTTCAAGCCAAAAAGACTCACGGTCCTAGAACAGAATGTGTGTGCATCAAGGCAGGCCCGAGGGGTGGAGGGGAGGCCATAGACGAAGGAGCACAGGGATGCAAAGGGAAGCTCAGGCGGGCACATGGCCCAGGCACCTCGAAGCCCTGCCAGCCGCCACGTCCCGGGTACCCCACTGTTCACGAGGGCTCAGCAGTTCACCACCTAAGCTACACTTTCTCCTCTGCAGGTGGCCCGACAGTTTCAGCCCTCTGTGGTGTGGATCGAAGACACAGAGAAAACCTTCTACAAAAAAGTTCCCAATGCTGAAAAGCTGGTGAGGGCTTTTCTGTCCTTCTTTCCTTGACCTTTCCTTCGGGGGGGGGCTGTACGAGACACCACCCCACTTTTTTGAGACAATCTTGTCTTTTCGATACAAAAAGAAGTGGGGTTTTTTAATCTCCTGCACCTGTTCCTCTCTCTCTCTCTCTCTCCCTCTCCCTCTCCCTCTCTCCTCCCTCCCTAAGTGCTTGTCTGCATTTGAAAGGATCCAGGAGTCTGATCTTAGGAGGCACAATTTAGAAGAAAATGGAAGAAAAGGAAAAGTTTAAAGGAGGAGGTAGATTTTTTTTTTCAGCCCAAAAAATTTTTCAGAGGGAAGCAATCATTGAGAGAACCCTGCTCAGTTAAAGCCACTGGCACACATAGCAGTTATTATTAGGATTTCCTATTGTTCATAATAATAAATAGCAAAAGACCTGAAATTTATGAACAAAGAGCTCAACAGAACTGCTAAGTGCAGCTTTGCCCCCGCAGCCCTGTTCCAATTGCTTCCTTCCTTCTTTTCTCTCTCCTCAATGGCCCCCTCCCCCGCACTTCCCCTGCAAATCACCAGCAAATTTCTCACAAGTTAAAAAAAATTGCAGATACACACGATTGTTATTCCACATCAATTTGGACCAAAGCAAATAGTGGTTAACTGTGAATTTCTGATGAAGTTCATAAGGATTTTAATCACTTTTGATCCTTATGTATTATACATCATTTTTAGCAGGTAGAGATGATTTGGGTAGAGAATGAAAGCTCAATCTTTTCTTCTCCAAATGAGCCTTGATTGCTCTGTCATTTCAAAAACTCTTAGGAGGACTCATTTATTATTTAATCTGGGAATCTAGCAGTTAGCGCCCTCTGCTGGACAAGCTGCTACATTGAGGAAGAAGAGGAAAAGGTCGAAAAATGGATGGGCAGGAAACATGGTGAACCAGACCCCAAGTCCAGAGACATCCGGGCTGAGCACAACCTAAGCAGTCAACACGTTTGGCTCGCTGATGGGCAGGACCACAGGAGGGAGAGGACCAAGGTGATGATAACAGACCCACATCCCCAGGTCCTTTGTGATCTCTCTGGTCCCCAGAAATGTAGGCCCTCTCTGCTTTATTCCTGGGGGACATCAAGGCCTTCGGGGGGCCCAGTTCTCACTAGGGGCAAGTCAGACATTTAGTCTGGTCACTCCCACCTTAGAAGACCCATGGCTGTCCTGGGGTCCGCTGCACGGGACAATGGGAATCAGGTGCTGGGCACATCTCAGACACCTGTGCCACACAGCTTCCCAAGCCAGAACATCCCCAAGGCCCAAAGGCTGTGCCATCCTGATTGGACAGCTGCAACAGCTGCACAGGTCCTGCCAGCAGCCTGGCCAGCTCTGCCCTGCAGGAGAGGGCAGGGGTCCCACCAGCCACGCTGCTGGGCCCACCCTGGGAGCAGAACAAGTTCCTGTTGCCCTCCTGCGTCTCCATGGCAGGGGGCCAAGCTCTGTCTTCCTCCTCCTGGCCCTCTGAGTCTCCTGAGCCTGACCCAAGCTCTCAGCCTCCAGGAGCACCACGAGCAGCAGGGAATCACAGGCGGCCAGAGGACCTCTCAAGGCAGCATTGCCGGCACCTCAGCTGCATGGCTTGCTACACAAGAACACAGTGCTCCCACCCACCCCAGACACTGTTGCAAAGGTCCCCATGGTCCCCCAAACACCGAGGCCCCAAGAAGCGTGTCCATCTGCAAAGAAACCGGGAAGCTGGGATGGCCAACTGGCCACAGCCACAATACCCATTGCAGGGTCCACCTGTCCCGAGTTGCTGGATTTGCAGGATTCCCAGGAGCATCCCTTGAGAGAGAAATCTGTCATAGTGTGGGACTCTAGCTCCAGGGCCCCTTCCGGGTGACATGAGGGGTGCTTGCTGGGTCATAATCAGTGAGGCGATGGAGGTCGCCTGCTGCCCATGGTGGCTCCTGAGCCGGAGCCCTGCCTGTGGGGATAGGAGGCCCTGACACCTGGGACAGCGGCGGCAGGGAGCAGAGGCTGGGCACACACCACAGGGCACCCTGGGAGCTGGCTCTGCTGTCTTTTTATAAGACAGCAGAGGGTGCGCAGCCGGAGGGGCGTGCTGGGACTCCGAACTATCTGAAGGCAGGGCCAGGCTGGAGGTCGCTGAGTGCAACTAAGTTTCCCCCTTTGCCCGCAGGGTGAGCCCTCTTTGTACCACCCTTGGCCCTAGTCCCCTCTGAGCCTCTCCGGAGAGTGGTTTTCAGGAGGTCTTCCAGCCAAACGGAGTCTCAGCAGCACAGAGGAAAGCAGAGTCAGTTCAGGGATAGGAGTGGACTCTGCGAAATCACCCAGGTGCTCAGAAGCTAGAGGAAGAGACCTCCATTCCCGTCTTCATAAAATAAGAGAAACTTCTGTCCCTGGCTGCCACTTCTGCTCCTTCCCCAGCCTCAGTCTTCCCTGCCTTTCTGGCCTCTGGCCTCTCTGGTGTTCCTGGACCAGCCAGCACATCTCTACTTCCGGTCTTTGCACTTCCTGTCCCCTCTGCCTGGAGCTCTCTCCCCAGTCTGTGTGGCTGTCTCCTCCCTCGTCCCGTCTCTGAGCCAAGCGTGTCCCTGCTGCTCACCGCCTCCGCTCCCCAGGCCTCCCCTTCCCTGCAGCTTGTACTTTACCCTCCTTTACCCTCCTTTACTCTTCTTCACAGCACTTTTTCCCTGACGTATTAACTGTCAGGCTATGGACTTATTTTCTGCCTCCCTGCTGAAATGTCAAATCCACAAGGATAAGCATCTGTGCTGCAGCCTTCCCTCCAGCATTTGCTTTTGTAGATTGTTTTTGCTGTGTCCCATGAATTGCCATATGCATTTTAAGATCCCTGGATCTGTGTCCACTTGTGGATCCACGTGGGGTCATGGCTCCATCTACCCTTAAAAATGAACACATCTAAAGTTCTGAGGAAGACAAGAGAAAGGCCTAGTATAATCCCACTGAAAGAGCCCTGTGTAAAACTCACTAAAGCAAAGCACTGATCCCCATTTTATAGATGAGGAGACTGAGACCCAAGTGGGTTCAGCACACTGCCCCCAGTCGCAGAGCAACTAAATAGCAGCACCTGAATTCAGAACCTGACCTGGTGCCATGAACCCCTTGTTTCGGAGTCTCCTCCCTTCACCTCTCCTTCCCTTCTCCTGAGGCCAGGGATGGGCTCAGACAGGGACGGCCATCCTCAAGGCTCTTCCAAGTTCCTGAGCTATAGAAGATTGACCAAAGAAAGTGAAAAGAATGGGAGAAAATATTTACCTACACCGACAAAAAGACTTGTATCTAGAGCATCTGACCAGCACCTACAGCTGTATAATAAGGACATATAACCCAATTTTTTAAATAGATCAAGGATCTAAATGCACATTTTTCCAGAGAAAACATACAAGCGAGCAATGAGCTCAGGGAAACATGCAGCATATCCTCAGCCATCAGCCAAATGGTAGCGAAGACAGCCAGGACCGTGCACCCACATTCCCCTGCCTGCCTGCTTCCTCTTCTGTCTGCACCAGGGTGGATTAATTCACATCCACAGCATTGGGCACGGCAACATGCCCTGACCTGACTCCTGGTTCCGGAAGCCGCCCTTGTCCTCCCTGGCACACAGAACAGTGGGCCCTTGGGAGCTGGCCCCCCTGCCTCATAGGTGCTGAAAGGGTGCTGAAACTGTACAGGCTCGAAGTACTTCCAAACTGCCGGACTTCAGAACCTGACTCGATCCAGGGTTTGTCTGACATGACATCCAGGACCAAGGTCCTCTGCCATCAGCAGCGAAGTCTTGAGCTCTCTACCAGACAGCTCAAGGGAGACAAGCGTAGCAAGCTCCTTGCAAGTCCCCATGAGCCTCCTTCACCTGGAGATGGGTCTCCATTTCCCACCTGAGGGTCAGGCACCCTGCTGGTTAGTCGGATGCTTCCTTCCTTCCCCTGACCCAGATCTGACTTCCAGAGATTCAGGAAAGGAAACGCCAGTGAATAAAAGTCCCCCAGACTAGGAAGTGCCCTGGGACACACTTGAAGGAACTGTGTCTACCAGAGCTTTGAAATCACTTCAACAGACATATGCCGCCACCCTTCTGTTTCTGAGAGTCCTCTTTCCTGAGTTCTCCATCCATTATTTGTTCTATATCTGGCCTAATACCCCACCCCCCTTTTCTCCCAGAATGAACCCAAACGCCTGAAAAAACAGCTTCCCAAAATCCTGAAACTCCTGCAGCCAAACGACAGGATTCTGATCGTAGGGACAACACAGCGTCCTTTTGATGCCGAACTTCAATCTTTTTGCAAAGTTTATGAAAAAATCATTTTGGTTCCCAGACCAGACTACGCTTCTAGATATGGTAAGTATCCTAAGCCCCAGGGGGTCAGCGGGATCTGCTGCAGGTATGCGAGGCCAGGAGAGTGAGCTCAGGAGTCCTTGGGATCTGGGTCACCACAGGCCATGTGCATCTGGACACAGGTACACCGCAGGCCCGAAACGTAAATCCCTGGCACCTGGGAGCAAAGCTGCCGTCTGGGCTCTGTGAACACACTGCTCTTTACCCAAGACAAAGGCACCTGGGTGGGACCATTACATTTGGCCCAAGGTGATAAAAGTCCTTGAGGCTGATGATTTTTCTTCGGACAGATAGCCAGGCCCACTTGTCCCCATGGCGATGATGGCTTCCTTGTAGAACACCATTTCTTCACACTAAATTAACTTTTTTTAGCCTCAATCAGGTTACATGTTGACTTACTTAATGAAAACATTAAATATGTGAGCTTATCTTTTCCAAACTTCTTAAATAAAATCAAATTCCATTTCCTTTCAACACTTTTTTCTTCTGGCACTGGGGGCTGAACCCAGGGCCTTTTCACTGAGCTGCATCCCCATTTTTTTTTTTTCTTTGAGACAAGGTCTCACTAAGTCACTAAATGCTCAGGCTGGACTCAAACTTGGAATCTTCCAGCCTCCACCTCTGAATACTGGGTTTACAGGCGTGCACCACCACCCCAAATACACTTAAGTGAAAATAATACCAAAAGAATAGCCCCAGGGAGCAGCGCAGTAGAGTTGGAAAGAGCCATGGGATCCAGGCTCTGGAGAGATGTGGCTCAGAGTCCAGGCACTGATGCCTAACAGCCAGGCGACCCTGACAGGCTCAGCCCTGCAGCCTCTGTGACCTGCAGAGAGCTGTCCGCAGGGCTCCTGTGGCTCTGGTGACCTCACTGCCCCCAGGAGGGCATGGGTGTTGGCAGGTGGTATAAGTGGGGGAAGAGGGGATGTTGTGGGTGGGGAGAAGTCATGATGAGATCACAAGAGAGGAGGTGGTGGTCGTACTGGTGTCCTCTGTTGTCTCGTGCTGGGTGGACACCTCCCCCACTGGGTTGGGCTCACCACTCAGTCCCTCCTGTGATGGGAGGGAAGACTCCCGTCTCTAGAAGCAGGCGCTGATGAAGCCCTGTGTGGCCTGGAAGGTGGCAACACCTGTCGTCAAAGCAGCTTTCTTCACACACTTCCTGTACCACCTCAGGAAAAGCCGAGTGGGAACAGTGAGGAAAGGGTAATATAAATCTGAATGTATTGAAAATAGTGTAATCGAATTTCAGGGCCAGAATTTGCTGGAACTGTATCCCCAGCCTCGCAGTGCTTTCTCTGAAGCTTTGCTCATTGTATCCCGTGGCATTTTAGTTCTTAGAGAGTAAAACTCACCCCTTCCTTCTGATCTGAAGTATCCATTGGTCCCTGTATGGAACCCTTTGTAGCACCAACTCTGAAGCAGATCTACTCCTTGAGCTTATTGCTGTGGTACTTCTGTTCCCACTGAGTGGTCAGAATGTTGAAATATCATGGCTGCTCATGGTACTTGTGCCTCTTTTTCCTCGGGATTCACTTCAGACAGATCAAAAAAAGAACACCTGAAAAGCTGTCCCATTTTGTTGAGATGGTCCCAGTTTTCTTACATAAAGTACATACTAAGCTTCCCTGGAAGGCAAGGGCTACCCAGGCTGGAAGGCTGAGACCAGTCAGATCCACCTCTTACAAGCAGTTTCCAGGTCCAAGTGTGCAGTTGACAGTCTCCCCCAGCCAGAATATGGGAATTCTCCTTGGAAATGAGCAGCAAGGACTAAAAACAGTTATACTCCTGCTTATCCAAATCCTTCAGATAACATACTATTCTGATAAGCAGGGATGCCATCCATACACACTGTATGTGAATTTCCAATTTTGAAATTTTCTAAACGTTAAATCTCTACTGGGTTCATTTTTCTTATCATATCACAAGGGCGTGTGGATCTGTAGACCTTAGGGTTGCCATTTTGTACGTCAGGTGGTAGAAAATTCCCCTGAGGAAAGCTTTACTCAGCTTTCTACTCATCTGAATTACAAAAAAGTTGGGAGATGGCTCCTATTGTATTCCTTCCCTGGTGAGGTGTGACTTGGGGTAGGGCACCAGGCTACTGCTGCTTACTCTGTTATAACTCTTGGCCTCTGTGTCTTTTCCGCCATCTTGGATCCCATAGTTCTGTGGAAACAGATCATTCAGCGCAAAGGAGGGGTCCTAACAAAAGCCCTGAATATCAGTTGCCTAGCCAAAGTCACGGATGGCTTCACCCAAGGACATATAGTGGAAGTGATCAAAGATGTGCTCACTGAGCGCCGAATTTGGCAGCAAGCTCGTAAACCACTCACCGCAGGGGAGTTCATCACAGCCATAACCAGCATGAGCCCAGTGTACAAAGAGGAAGAAGATTGCTTTAAGGTAAGCTGGACACCCTGACAGCTAAGTCTCAGCAGCAAACACTTGTCATACACCTCCCATGGGTTCCCTAGGTGTCATGGATTTGAACACCGTCTCATACGGTGAAATTGAGAAACTCAACATCTTCAGATCACAAAATCTTTTGAGGGCTGGGGATGGAATCCAGTGGTAGAGCACCTGCTTAGCATTAGGCAGTCCTGGGTTCCATCCCCAGCACAAACACACACAAAGAAAAATTCTTTTAAGCCTTAGCAATAAAGCATGTTTTCCAAATCTTAAGAAATGTATAATTTATGGCCTTATAAAATTAACAGCCAAACTGCAGTGGTAATTTCAAAACCATTCTCTCTCTCCCTCCCTTCCTCCTTCCTTTAATTTACATAGGGAAAATTGTCCCTTACAGAGGACACTTCAAGCTCGGACTATTTTGTCACTCACTTGACATAGGACACTCCTTTTTTCAGTTCTGTGTGAGCTTACAGTAGGAAACTACAAGAGAACTCAGCAAAATCTAGTTTTCCAGTTTTTGAGCATCCCTGGACAGGCTCACAGATCTCAAAGGAAATGTTGAGATCTCTCTTCCAGCTCCCTCTTTTATAGGACACAATGCTGCTTTGTCCCCTGAGGTATCTGGCCCCAGGCACAACAAAGGTACAACCTACTCCTGAGGCCCACAGAGGACACTGCTCAAACTCCACTCACTTTCCTTTAAATCACAATGAACATAGTGCTATTGCTTCCTACACCTAAGGCAATTTCCTTGCCCAACTGGGAAGAAAAAGGAAGAAAATAAAATTGAAGGTCCCTACAAAATTGTCATTCTCACCCAAAGGAGAATTGGAATTGTCATCGAAGCCTCTCATTTCTGGGACGCCGGTTAAGACTGGGGACATTTTCCCACTAAAGTATATAAAGTATGAGTGAGAACCTCAGTGAATGTTTGAATTTTTTTATTGCAGGAAAAGACATAGTGCTATGAACCCCCCTCAAAATATTCTCCCTCACTTCTCACACATTTACCCCTTCACTCTTGCCCCCTTCTGAAGCGGTTCTGAACGTCCCCTCTAGTTGTGCTGTGGTGGCTGTCTCTGTGCCCTGAACGGATTCAAAACATTGGCCCTTGGCGGTCATTTCAACTTTGGGAAAGAGCCAGCATCCCAGGGTGTCAGGTCCAGCGAACAAGGTGGACAGGGACAGGCCATCACTTTCTATGAGCCTGCCTCTCCTCAGCAGCGGCAGCACTCGCCATATTTCTAATCGTATCTCATAGCCACTCATGAAAGCGGACTGTCGGCACTGCTTTGGAAAGTGGCCAGGACAATGGGATAAGTGTATTGGAACCAAGCGTTAGCACTTTAGGGGAATTGATGACAATACAACTTTTACTGCAATCATTTTTTAAACTTAAACATTCACTGTATATTTGATCACGCCTCATACCACTCTTTTGCCGAGTTTAAAATTATATTTCTTTCTTTCCTGATTTCCCCCAATACTTCCTCAGAAAGGGAGAAATCATCACAGTGATGACTTCGGGAACAGTAGTGCAACAGGAGTTGGTAGGCTCTCTGTGTATGCTTTCTCTGAGTACTTTAGGCCTTGAAAGCCACACAGCACGTGTCTCAGCTGTTCAGCGCTGCAGCATGGCACCAAGGCGTCCTTACACATTATGTGAGCAAGTGTGCATGGCTGGGTCCCAGCAAAACTTTATTTGCAGTAACACATCGTGGGTCCTATTTGACTCATCAGCCAAATTTAGCTACCCTAGCTCTAGAAAAACTGAAAAAAAAATTTCTCTCAACTCTCACCAGGTGTTTGCCAAACATTTAAATGAATGTTCTGTTATTTGAACTGTTTTACATTAGTATTCTGCCGAATGTGACTGTTTACATTTTATTCCGATCAACCGCTAACACTTAGCATCTTCGAGTTTCTCTTCACACTCTTCTGAACGTCTCTATATCTTCTCCTTTCTAAAGTCCTGATCTTCCTCCTCTATGAGGATGGGCTTACAGTGTTAAAACCTAAAGCCAGGTCTGTAGCTTTTCAAAGAGATCAACCTCTAGGTGTCTTCTACCTGTGGCAGTGCTTGAAGGTGGCTGTGCCGGTCAAGAAAGAGAAAAATTACCACTTTCTCACCTGAGATGAGGAGGCAACTGCACGTGTGTTTGATGACTTGTCCCATTCCCCACACATGGTTCCTCCAGCCCTCTCCATATCTGTGTCCTCTGCTGGGCCTAAGCAGATGTTTGGCCCATTTGCTGCTTTGGCTGAGCCAGTGCAGAGGCGGAAAGACACTGTCACACTCCTGAAACATGTGGTGGTGCTGCTGCAGTAGCTGCATATAGTGAGGCCATCAGATTTGCCCTGACAGACTTTGCTAACTGTGTTTCTTAAATTGTATCAGGCTCGAATTGTGCAGATTTTCCAAACACACTCTCCTCTGTTCCATGGAGTTGACGGAAAAAAATATTTAATGATGATAATGATAACCAAGACCTAATCATAAACATCGACGAACACCATCCTGGCTGTGTCTTGTGCACCAGGCACTATATTAACCCAATCCGACCTCACGCCCCCCTATTTTGCAAGGGAGGAGCCTGAGCTACATAGAGAGGTGTTAGGGAGAATGGCGCCCCCTCAAAAGTGTCGGCATGCAGTCCCTGCAGCCTGTGAATGTGGCATCTTACGTTTGCTAGTCAAAATCCATGCCTGTGTCTTGTGCTTCAAGGTTCCAAATCCACCCCATCTTCCTAGTACTACAATTCATCATTGGTTTTGGAATTTTTTTAGCCTTTTTTTCCAATTTTCTTTTGTTTTTCATATAATACTAGTAGATATTAATAAAGAAAATATAAGAGTCATTCTCTAACCATTTTGTTAGGTTTTGGAATTATAACACATTCCAAAAAGTTATTTTGTATAATTAAAAGCCCTGATGACACATTAAAAGCAAATGTAACTTATGGAAACTTATTCAAATTAAGAAACTTTCAAGTCCTATATGAAATACTACCTTTGCTAGAGACAAAATCTTAATAATAATAATAATAATAACAATAATAATAATAATAATAATAATAATAATAATGTGATCCAAACAGTCTACCATGAGGAAAATCAGCAGGGATAGATAACAGAATTAGCACTACTGGGCCCGGGGATTTAGCTCAATGTCACTGTGCTTGCCTTACAGGTACAAGGTCCTGAGTTCAATCCCCAGTACCAAATAAAAAAAAATTTTTTTTAAACTAGCACTACCAAGAATCTGAGATGATAGAACATTCTGGAAGAGACTACATATTAACTTTATTTAACTCATTAAAAGCCAGAAGCAGGGGGTGAAGGAAGGGCAGAGGTAAGGGGAAAAAATGAGAATCAAGACTTGCCATGTAAAGGTACATGATCCCAACAATGAATGTAACTGTACTGTATCCCTAAAATGTACCAATAAACTCAATAAAATTAAAAAAAAAAGCCAGAAGCATTAGAGGATAAAACAGGAAAACTTAAAAAAAGAAAGAGAAAACATCTGAAAATGAAAATAATATATATAGTCATTGTAATTAGAAACTCAATGAGTGGGTTGTCTATGGATTAGACACAAATGAAAAGAAAATGAAGGAACTGGAAAGGGTAATAAAAATTTTGTGTAGAATGTAGTATAGAGAAAAATAAAGAATGAAAAACAAGAAGAGGTTAGTTAAGAGTTATGGACGATAAAATGATAATACCTGCTGCTCTTGTGACTGGACCTTTGATTCCACAAATCATCAAGGAGCATTAACTAACTTCAAACCATGGATATAAGACTTTGTTCTGTATTTAGGGTTAGAAGACCTTGTAGACAGAGACCAAAATAAAACTCCCTACTCAGAGTGAATCTGAAAATCAAAATTCCAAAACATTTTGGGCAAATTTAGTGTTAAGCACAAACTCATGAAAATGTTTACATGAATAATTAAGATGTTCAAGAAAATAAATGAGAATATGACCTCCACTAGAAATATATGCTAAGTTTTAAAACAAAGATAGGCAAAAATGGAAAATCATGGGGAAGAAAGCATACAAATGAAATATACTGGTTATCATAATATGTTTAAAAGTTAGAATTATGGACTTTAGACTACACAGGTGCTAGAAATTGGTGGAGAGCAATATTGCTTTAGGAAGTTCCCTCAGAGGGTAGCACATGGAAACAGAAAGGTAAAATCTATAAAAACAAATTTAAGATCCACAGAGGGTAAAACTAAAAGGCATTAACATCTAACTAATAGAAATTCTAGAAGAAAGGAATGCAAGAAATAGCAAAACAATTTGTTGGAAAAAAATTATATGCTGAGAATTTTCCTAAATCAGAAACATGAGTTCCCAAATTAAAAAATGAACTGCAAAGTGCCAATAAAGCAAATAGAAATAAATCCATACCCTTGTACAAGAACCATGTAGCAAATAATCTTAAAAGCTACCAGATTACATACAAAGAAACAACAATTTTTTCAATCAGAGGTCTCCTCTTTGATAACAGATGTCAGCAGACAGTGAGATTGTATTTGCAAAGTGCTCAAACTGGTAGGTAAAAGCTATAAACTGCGGCCTGGTTCCTAATTATGAAAAATGACCCATATGTCCACTGATGGAACTGATAAATAATGATTGATATAATCACTTCATGAAATTACTGTAAATTGTATAAACCAAAATGTTCCTTTGGGTTCAAATACAATGCCATTGCAGGGCCAGTTTGGATCAGGAAGTTTATTTTTGGTCACTTGGCCCCATTATTCTGCCTGTCATGCTTCTGGTGGCCGTGTGTGAACCAGCGGACATTACCCAGAGAACCCACAACCATGAGACACAGTAATGTGCTAGGGAACCAGGCGCCTTGCAACCAGAGTTGTTGGTGAAATTTAGTCATGGTCCTCAGAAATCGCTAACCCATTGGGTAGATATTTCAAATCACATAGAACTAGGAACCCCAGTGCAAAGAGTCTGTACTAAACATACATTAGACAAGTGTAGGAGAACAGCCAAAATGTAATAGCCACTTGGCCCTTCCTCCCCAGCAGGCTCTTCCTCATTTCGAAGAGTACTCCGGAGAATTTGTGCCATTCTGATCTTTGCCTGAAAACCTATTTTATTTCAGGACTGGTATGCCAAAACCCCTCTGGGTAAAAAGCAAGCCTTGTCGTTAACAATTGGTGGCAAAGAAAAGGAGAAGGCCAAAGGGAAAAAGAAAGGAAAAAAGGAGAAAAAGAGAAAGTAAAGTCTTCCTGAGGAGCCATCCCTGAGCCTCTTTGGGATGTTGGTGGCCCCACCTCTCCAGGGAGGAGATTCATCCGCCCACTGCAGAGCCACAAGGAAGGAGAGCCACAGCCACTGACCACTGACTGCTGTGATTCTCCTGCAGTGGGCGGGCACTGAGCCAGGTATCCACAGCAACCGCTTCTACCACTTGTAATTATTCTTTCTTCCACCTACACCGTACCTATGACTGAAATTCACTTTTCACATACTCCACACCCTTTTCGAGTTGAGTCCTTGTCAGTTCTAGAGTCAAATCAAAATCTGATCGAAGAGTATTCTCATTTAACAACTAAGCAAGCCAGGAGTGTGTTGTCAGTTGTTTACTAACCCAGACAAGCTGTGTATTACCTTGCACATATTTTAATTAACTCTCTGCTCTGGGAGTGTATTTTATATATTGAAATAAAGCCATTGTCCTTGAACTGACTCGATCACTTGGTAGCCGGAACTAAATAAGATCCTAACAATGCACTGTCTCAGTTTCCTGATTTCGAGGATAGGTAAATCCAGCATCACAGCACCACATTCAGAATGTGGGACTGAAGTAATCACCAGTCTAGGGCTCTGTAGAAACCCTCAGATACTGGCAAGCTGAAGACTGGACGAAAACTCAATATAAAAATGGGATAAACGCAGAGATGAAAAAAACCTAAATGAAGAAATGAAGAAATGGTAAAGAAAAAAATATTAAAGGATAGAAGAGGAGTCAAAAGAAGTTTGCATGAAGGTTATCTGGTACAAGACAGCAAGTAACCTACCTCTAAACTGTGGTAAGATCTCCATGAGAGGAAGAAAACATAAACAGCTGGGATGGTTGGATTTGCATGCTGAACACACCCCATCGGACAGTTTGGGGTACACCAGAGAGCAGGACAAATCTCCACATCTTCTCAGAACCCAGCTGCTTGGCTCGAGACACCCAAGGAGACATAGTTTCCGGTGTTGCCTGGCCACCAGCACAGCCCCTGACTACACCTGTGTGAGAAAGGCTGACACAAATGAGAACACAAAGGCGGTCATTGGCCATGTCCTGGGCGTGTCCTGCACTCTTAGTTCTTCCTCAGTATCCATGTGGCACACGCCAAGTGTACGGAAAGCCAGATTGTCCAAGTCCCTTATACAAATGGTACGGTATGGCACAGAACCTACTCCTGTCCCCCCAGGTGCTTTAAGACCCTCTCTGGAGGACGTGCAATACCCTGCATGGAGTGAGTACATAGCTGTTCTACCGTACTGGGGGAAACCGGAAGGAATACAGCCACGTGCTGCACCCCGTTTCTGACCGTGGGGCTGTGAGACACAAAAATCTTCCAGTGAGGAAGCAAGACAGGGTGACCGCATGGAGGACGAGGGTGGAGTGGCAGAGGGAATAAAGGGGACACCTCTTCTCTGGAGCTCTGCTGGGGCCGGAGCTATTCCTGGGCCATTATGTGGCAATTAGCCGCTCTCGAGCTTGTTCTTAAGTGAAGGGGACAGTAATTAATGTCATTAACCCTCATTAAGGGAGCATTCCATGGGATAGAATCTGATTAAAGTAGAATTACAGCTCCTGGGTGGCTTCACACTCCTCCTGTTCTTAGGAATAAGCAGGTCCTGGCTCCCAGACCAAATGCCTGATACCACAGTGCTCCTCCAAAAGCTCCAGAGACCATCTGGTCTTCAGCAAACACCTTTCAGGAAACAGCAAGCTTAAGACACTCTCGTCTCTACTTTTGAGACTCTTCCTCAACTTTCCTCCACGTTTATTACCAAGGCAGGCATTTGGGGATAAATGGGATCACAAGGCTGATTCATAAGAGTGATACTATTTTTAGCCACTAATGACATGGTGGGACCCAAACTACTAAGATAAGTGGCTTCTGATGTCCCTGAAATTCTTAAGATTTTAATTTAAGAGAGGCCAGGATGGTGCAAATAAAAGCAGAGAAGACCACAAAAGATTGTGGGCTTGGAACCAAGCTGGCAGATACCTGGGTTGTGAGGCTTGCGCTGGTTCAAAATCCACAGTGCAAAGCACCAGAAGTCTCTACCCTCCTTGCAGATCAGCTCTCCTTAGAATTCACACCTGCGTCCTCACCGCCTTTGGTTGGCCTTCCAGGTCCATTATGAGCACCGTCTGTGAGCCGGCACAGTGCTGGGGCTGAGCTGCCCTGCAGTCTGGTGATCTGGAAGACACTGTCAGTAAATGCTCATGAGAGGAGCGTACAAGGCTACAGTCTTCAGCATATGCTTGGTCTGAGGGACCGGGCTCACCACCACCTGGCTTTATCCCCACGAGAAGCCTTCTGATGGGGAATTCAAGGCTCCGTGAGGAAGTGCTAGCCTGGATGGTGCTGTGCCTCTGTCATCACCTAAGACAGTCTCCCTCTTGTTGGGCTCCAGGGAGGAGGTGGGAGCCCAAGTCTGGCGCAGGTCACTGCCCTTCTGCTGCACACTGGTTTTGTTACCCAGGGACTGATGTGTGGCCTAAGGCAGTTAACCCAGTTCCTCCACATGGTAAACCCAGGGCCCTGCTCTTTCTGTTGGCTCCTAGATTGAACATCTTAGAGTCTACAGTGGATTCCAGTGTTGCAAGGCAAGGGCCCTCTCCAATCTCAACTCAGAACCCATCCAGTTCTAGCCCCTGTGGCTCTGCATGTAGCATGGGGGTGGGTGGGATTTTGTATTTTGCAGTGCTAGGGATCAAACCTAGAGCCTTGAGTGCCAGGGACTAAGCTCAGTGGTGCCTCCCTGCCTGCCTCACAAAAAGTGCTAGGACTGGAGTTCGATCCCCAGTACCAAAACAAAAAAAAACAAAAACAAAATCCCTGGAGCCATGTGCATGCTCAGCAAGCACTGTATCTGTGAAGCCACTTCAGTGGGCACGTGCATAGCCCTTGACCCACTGGGCCTTTGGGAGGAGTGAACTCAGTGAGGACAAGCAGTGCACTTCAGATAGTGCCCAAGGTGCCCGGCCCAGCACAGCAGGCGCTCCGGAAGCCTCCACCTCCATGAAATGAACTGAAGCACTGTGATGGAAGACGGTGGGGGGCAGTGCAGCTCCCTGCCTCCTCAGGCCCAGGGAAAAGGGGTCCTGGGAGAAGCGCCTGGTCCTGGGAGCTCTGCAGAAGCTGGGGACCCTGCATATAGCACCTGCCCCATTTCAAACCCTTCCTCCCCAGTTGGGGCCACACAGGGTGCAGTGCCCCTCTGCACACCACCTCTGAGCTTCCCATATGGCTTCATCTGTGCCCTGAGGAGGCCACCCTGCCCCAGGAGATGGCTGCCAGCTCTTCACTTCCAAGCCAGCAGCTCTGGCAGAGCACCCAGTCAGATCTGCCTCCAGCAGCAGCTGGCCGCCAAGCCCTGCCTTCTGCCACTGCCACAGCCATTGCTGTTCCCCAGCTAGTGTGAGAGCAGCCCCAGAGCAGGACTGCTGGCCACTGTGCTGGCTGCTGCCATCCCCAGAGCCTAGAACAGGCCAGCAGGAGCTGGTGCCCACTAAGCATGAGGCAAATGGCTTCAAAGATAATCTCTAAGCTGTTGTTGTGGGTACATTCCCAAGGCTGAGGTCAGAAACTTCCCCACCACTTGAGTCTTCAGTCCCCAGACTCAGTGACCTCCCCAGGTCATGCTGGGCACCAGAATCCAGACTGAGATGAGGGAGGGAAGTGTGTGAAAATCAGGAAGGCTGGGGGCCAGGCCCACAGAGTATGCAGGTCTCTGTCTCCTTGTCTAGCACACAATGTGCACCGCACCCAAGGACAAGGGAAGGTAAAATACAGATCAACTGTACACCCAGCCTCTATGGCAAATGGAAGGGTAGGGGGGAAAAATCAGGTTAATTTAACAAGAACTGACACAACATCTTTACATTTTTGGTTTCAGCCCATGAAAGCCATTTCCTAACATTTACTTTAGTCTTTTACATTTTCTCAATAATGTTTTAGAATTTCAGGTATAGATATCTTACACATCTTTCTTTAGATTTACTTCTAGGTATTTTATAAATTGGCATTATAAATTATATTTTGTTTTATACTTGTTTGTTGCTGGTATACAGAAATAAGTTTAGCTGTTAATATTGATTTTATATCCAGCAGTATGTTAACTTACTAATATTAATTATATGTAGCTTTTTGGATTTTGTATATATAATTATATTCTCTTAAAATATTAACATTATTTCTTTTCAATCATCGTTTTTATTTTTCTTGCTTTATTGCACTGGATATAGTTACAATATTGAATAGAAATAAGAGAAGGCATCATCATTTCAGATCTCAGTAGGAAAAACATTCAACATGTCACTATTAAGTATGAAGCACAATGTAAGTTTTCTTTAAGACATGCTTTATCATATTAAATCTCTATCAGATTTAGTGTGCTAAGAATTTTTCTCATGCTTGGCTATGAACTTAAATATTTCTGCACCTATTAAGATGATCACATGACTTTCTACTTCATGTCATCACTGTGGTTGATTTAATTGATTTTCAATTGTATTCTCACTGAGATAATTATTTATTCACAAACTTGTATAGTATAGAATTGTATTGTTGATAGCCTGCAGATTTTCTCATTTCCTGTGCTGTGCTCATACTTAGGTGTGTTTTATGCACCTTGGTCGCCTGTGTGTGTCTGTGTATCTATGATCACCATTATGATATAGAATAATTGCTGTACTACAAGGATCCCACAGGATCTCTTTCGTAACCACATCACTTCACTCCCACTGCCCTCCTTTAACCCCTGGTAACCACTGATCTGGTTTCCATTTCCAAAACATTGTCATACCCAGAGTGCTACAGAAATGGGCTAACACAGATGGGATTGGCTTTCTTCACTCAACATGGCTCCATGGGACCACTCCCTGATTACTCATGGATCCATGGCTCACTGCTTTTAACCTGCACAATAGTATTGCGTTGGGTGGGTGTACCACATTTATTCATCCATTTGCCTGATGAACATATGTGATGCAAACTTTAGCTACTACAAAATCAGCATTCTTTCATGTACATATTTTTGTATGAACATACATTTTCCAGTGAAAAACTGGGACAAGTACAATTATTGTGCCTGTGTGTAACTTTATAAGAAACTCTCAAGACTGTCAAACTGTTTCCCAAAATGGCAATACCATTTTACATTTCCAGTAATATAGGTATGGGTAATCCAGTTTCTCCACTGGCATGTTATTGTTATTATGTTTATTTTAGCCATTCTGACAATTATGCAATTATTTATTTTAAAGGTTAAATTGGTCTTTCCTTTTTTAAGTAAAAGGTTATGTTTATAACCTATCATATTTTCATGCATAATTTTATTTAATTTGGTAATATTTTGCTTAGAATATTACATTTTGCATATATTCTTACATAACACTGTAATGTAGCTTTCTTCTCATAATATCTTCATTAAATTTTTACCTCACAAAATCAGTAGCAATTTTTTTTTTTTTTTTTTGTACTGGGGATAGAACTCAGGACCTTGCACTTGCAAGGCAGGCAACAGAACCACTGAGCTAAATTCCCAGCCCTCAATTTAATTTTTAATGCATTACAAGACTTCAAATTTTCTATTTCTTCCAGTGTCAGTTTTGTTTACACTGATTTTTTTAAAGGAATTTCACTACTTAATGAGGATTTTT